CTTCTTCTACTGTTTCCAATAAACCACGTTTGAAATCAAAACCTAAAACTAAAAAGCCTAAATCAAAACTTCCTAAATCCAAATGTAATACATAATCTTTTACAATATCCGCCTTAAATGATGTACCACCTAATAACCTCTTACACTGCACTTTTCACATAGAAGGTAAACCAGTCATAGTCATATTTCTCATAGACACCGGAGCAGGGATCTCGGTTATAAAAAAGGATAAAATAGGTTCTTCACCCTTAAATAAATTAGACATCGTGTCAATCGTAGGCATTTCTGGTAGCCAGAATTTAATTATAACCTCAGGCAACACCAACATATCTCTAGATTATTTACCTAAATATCGTTTCCATGTCGCCTCCCTTAACATTAAAGCAGACGGTATACTAGATAACGATTTCATGATAAACAATAATTGCAACATTTACATTCAATCCAAAACTATGAGAATATGTTAAAGATCCTACAAATTACATTATTTGAACGAAAATCTTCAAAATATAATCGACTCAAATAACCAATTCCTTTCTAGCTGCTCTGAGAGTGTATTACAAGTGTATAACAATACATTCTAATTATGTGTAGAACAAGCAATATAAATTCCGGGATAGCAATAGCCGAAAAACAAATAATAGATAAGTTATTGTTATTCCCAATGCAATAGTCGAAATCAAAAACAACTCCTTTATTATATTAACACTTGCGTAAATACAAACAAATCCGACAAAGTAATTAGAATTCCAAACATCGAAAATCTCCCTTACCAACCAAATCAACGAACAAACACTTAATCAACAATCTTAATCACACATCTGACACCGACAGACAAAACCAAAGTACTCACCTTTATTAGACGCGAACATTTAAACAAAGAAGAGTCGAACTCATTAGATAAAATTGGTTCCAAATATCCGGACATATTTTTATCGAAGGTGACGCATTTACATTTAGCAATCATACAAAACATAAAATACCTACCACTATTGACATTCCATCACTGGCAACACGCACTGGTTGTACAATTTCGTTTTAAGGTTTTGAGGTATGTCTGACGGGAAGATGTGTCGTAGTTTCCCGAACGCTGCCCAGCCGGGTTGAATCCGTTGATTGCGTGTTGCCAGTGATGACTTACGGATCTGAGACGTGGTCCTTCACTGCTGGCCGTATGAGGAAGCTCAAGGTCGCTCAGCGAGCTATGGAGAGTGCTATGCTCGGGGTTTCTCTGCGTGATAAACTTAGAAATGAGTATATCCGCAGTAGAACCAGAGTATCCGACATAGCCCAACGGATTAGTCAGCTGAAGTGGCAGTGGGCCGGCCATTAAGCTCGAAAAACCGACAACCGATGGGGAAGAAAGGTTCTTGAGTGGCAGCCTCGTACCGGTAGGCGAAGTGTAGGGCGACCCCCCACGAGATCTGGTAAGACATGCAGAAAGTCGATGGATGCAGGTGGCTCAGGACCGTGCTTTGTGGCATTCCTTGGGGGAGGCCTATGTTCAACAGTGGACTTATGAAAGGCTGTAATGATGATGACGATGATGATGATTGACATTCCAATTCACACAAAAACCGATCGCTTTCCTTAAGTGCACGAACAAGAAGTAAAATCACAAGTCCAAAAAAATGTTAGACCAAGACATTTTCAGACCTAGCTCATCTCCTTAGAGTAGCCCCATCTGGGTTGTTCCTAAATACTAGACGCATCTGGGAAACAAAAATGGCGATTAGTTGTTGATTACCGCAAGTTAAATGAAGTCACAATAGGAGACAATTATCCTTTTCCAAACATCACAGGCATTCTAGAAAAATTAGGTCATTTAATGTTTTCTTATATTTACGCGAAGACTACACATTAAATGAAACTAATTTTTACGGATTATATCGCGTTTAATTTTAACTTTTTTAATACCCGACCTTTCGGGTGCTTTACAGCACCCCTGGTCACGGGGGACTGAGGTGTTTGACATCCCAATGTCATAGTTAGCCCGGCTACCTTCAGTTTTTTTAATATTAAAAACACACATATTCACAAAAACACTTCAGAAGACTATTTACAACTAAACTTTCAACACTACTTAGAAATCGACTCTCACACTTTTATTACTCCATATCTCCATATTTCACCAGACTGCCTCTTAAACGAACATCACAAAAACATTCTTATCCCAATCTCTTGTAAACTTTCCGATAAAAATACCCTTTTCAACCAAGTAATTTCCACTTGCTCTCAAGGGGACCCATATTTAAATAAAACAAAAACACTTTACGAAACCGATATATTAGTTTCAAATAAGAAACAAAATATTATATTTGGCTGTTAAAGACCCATCACTTCGATCCTTGGGATTCTGAAAGCTATTTTAAAATATTACTCGCTTGACTACACAACCATAAACTACGAGTAAAATCACTTTACATTCCAAATCTAAAAAACACGGCCGCACTTGTAAACTTAAAGGAAACGAACAGTTATACATCACACCTTATTTAGCAGACCTTAACGAATGCAAAATCACCATATGTGAAAATAAAGTTAAAACTCCAGCTCCAGAAGAGTTAGCATCAATCCTGAAAACCCTCCATGATGATCCCCTATCAGAATATCGTGGCATTACCGAAACAACACACAAAATACGATCTGAATATTTCTGGAGAAGAATGACAGAAACTATTAAAAATTATATAGAGAATTGACAATTCAATGTAAACATATAAAGCTCCCATGGTTATTATGACTTTAATAAATATATACTCACATTACAAGATGACTTAACTCGTTTTCTTCAAGCATACCCCGTTCAAGACAAACAAGCAACTACGGTAGCCAAATCACTTTTAATTTTATGTCAATATTACAGTGTACCTAAAAGTTTCCATTCCGATCAAGGCACCGAATTTCTAAATAGCGTGATCAAACAATTGATGAAATTACTAGGATCCAACCACACAGTTAACACCGCATAACGGTGCATTAGAACGATTCCACGCAACATTACACGATCACATCCGAATGTACCTCAAACGTAGTCAATGTAATTGGAATCAAATTGTGCCATTTGCCGTTATGTGCCATAACACATCAATTAGTCAGTCAACAAAATTTACAACTCATGAATTACTCTTTGGTTACAAACTGCGTTCTCTATATTCTTTAAAAGCAAACGACGACTACACAACTCATGACTACCTACGAGATTTAAACGAAAGACTCAAGGTACGAGGACATAGCCCGCCAAAATGTAGAATCAATGAAAGAAAAGGCAAAAGAGCGATACAACAGCAATATTAAAAATATAGCCAAATTTAACGTAGGAGATAAAGCTATGATCAAAGTTCCCAATCCAAACAACTTAAATAGCCTATGGGATGGGCCTCATGTTGTTGTTAGAATAGGTTTTAATGAAAATTATATTATACAAAAATCTGGGAAAAACCAAATAGTGCATGCGAATCGCTTAAGACCATTGCATGACTTCATTCAATAATCATAACATTTTATTCTAAGACTAGATCGTAATTATTCATAAATATTTAACTTTAAATCTATTTCACTGTAGCTCGAGTAATGGGCACACCCTAATAAAACCCTTAGTTTAATTGAAAATCTTTTATATTTTATCATAACCCATACATTAATTTTACTATTTGTTTTTTTTTAATTATTACCTTACATCATTTTAAACAAATTTTATCTATTTTCTAAGAATTATTATATAACTAATTTTAAAAGAACTCAAAGCAATTAACTAGGTTTATTTTAATTTTCAGGTACTCCACAACTTTTGTTGATGGGGATACCCACATAAATCCTATTCCTTCTAATTCTGGACTCTATTTCAAAAACTATGTAGAAATATTAATATCTGGAAATTCCTGGAAATTTATCATATATCGTAATCTTGAACCTTTATTTCTAGCTCTCTACTCTATCAAATGACTAATAAATAAATATCAATCTCTCATTATTACACATTCAAATTTACCTACCGTTATAACTACTACTTCATTTATAAAAATAAAAATAGACAGAATAGATTCTAGACTCGACGAAATTAATTATTACACTGACAACAACTACAATCCAAACGCGAAATACTAGACGGCTTAGGTTCAATTTTTAAATGGCTCATTGGTGTTCCAGATGTAAAAGATGCCAAACACTATAACGAATGTATTAAAAATTTAGAGAAACAGCAAATATCCACTAATGATATCTTAAAACAACAATTACAAATTATTTCTTCAACAATAACAAATTTTAATGAAACATTACATAAAATCTCTTATGATGAATACGTTATTTACGAAGATATTAGAAAAATAAATTCACACTTTACCTCCACAAACAAATTTATATTTAATTTAACTATTCTTGAAGAAATATCTACCGTTTCAATTCAAATTCTAGAACCTATAGTTTCTTTGGAACGAGATATCGATGATGTCATTACAAGCATCATCATCATCATCATTATCATCATCATTACAGCCCTTCACAAGTCCACTGCTGAACATAGGCCTCCCCCAAAGAATGCCACAAAACACGGTCCTGAGCCACCTGCATCCATCGACTTCCTGCATGTCTTACCAGGTCGTCACTCCATCTCGTGGGGGGACGCCCTACACTTCGCCTACCGGTACGAGGCTGCCACTCGAGAACCTTTCTTCCCCATCGGTTGTCGGTTCTTCGAGCTATATGGCCGGCCCACTGCCACTTCAGCTTACTAATCCTACAAGCATACTTTTCATTAAATCAAATGTAAGACAGCCTTCTATAATATCCACTATGCGTCTTTACAAAGAATTACTGTCTTCTAATCCCGCTACGCCCAATAAAAACTTAGTTACCCCAATAGCATTACCTAATTTACACAAAGTACATGAATCTGCCTCTATTACTTCCTATATTTATATGAATAAAATTATGTATATCTTAGAATTCCCTTTAGTAAAAAACTAAAATTTACATTATACCATTTATATTCTATCCATATGCTACGTCCTGACTCTTCCTTATATTCTACTATCCTTCGCGAACAAACATATCTTGCCATGAGTACCACTAGACAGCAATACGTCTTCATGAGCTCACTGGACAAATGCAAAGACTTTGCAACGGAATCCAAAGTCTGCAATGATCTTCTCATCTACAACATCAACACCAGACATATATGTGAAGTTGTCCTCTTAATAACGACGAGTCAACAAGTTCCTGAAGTTTGTGATGTAACTACATTTTCTGCACACATCAACACTTTCCAAGCTCTTAGAAATAACAACTGGATCTACATACTCCAACGCAAGACTCCGTATGCTTTAGAATGCGGAAGCAAAATGACTAATGGGGAAATATCTGGAGCAGGTATCATCAGTCTAGAACAAGGATGTAAAATGTACACCGCGTTTGTTACACTCCTAGCTGAGAACACAAAACCATCAACATTAGCCATCCTTTTATCTATGTGAATATTGAACACCTTTGCGCCCCAGATGAAATTAAGCTGCAACAAACAGAAATTGCACTAATCCCGCTCAACAACATTCAACTCGATTCTCTTAACTCGGTTAGAGAACAAATAAAAACTCACACAAAATTGCTTGAAGATAATAAACCTACATTCTTAGAAAAACATGTTACAAAATTTTCCATATTAAGTACAATTACTGGCATCATTATGCTAACTTATTTTTGTTATAAATGTTATAAACGCTTGCCATGGAATAACATGCCTACAAATCGACATGGTAACTATATACATATTTTTAATAATTGCTTTGACCGTTCACTTTGACGACCAATGCTACAACATTCTGTACATCAGAAGACGAAGACGAAGCTGCTGACTAATCTCGAAAATCGAGCAAAACCGCTCAATCTTTGTTCTAAGGGGGGAGGTTTATGTCATAGATACTATTTACTTTATGTTAAAAGTCCTATATACTTTATATTGTTTGTTCACTTAAAAGCTAAATTACTTTCTTAGAAGCCGAACTAATGTTATGTCATAAGATACTATTTACTTTATGTTATAAGACCTGTATACTTTATATTGTTTATTTACTTAAAATCTAGATCATATTGTTTTCTTAGAAGCCAAACTAATTAGATTGTAATATTATATGCTAATGTTTATAGTTTACCATTCCTAATTGTATCTTAGAATAAGTTAACGATAACACCAATTTTGTAACAAAATGTTGTTAACAAAATGTTACAAAATGTTGTTCCCTTATCTTTACCTCCTAGCTTCTATATAAATACAATAAACTTATATACTATAAAATATATTACAGAAAATATATTATATTTACATAAAAATACATAGATACATAAATATATACTTATTATAAATACAAATAGATATATAACATAAACCAATAAATAAAATAACAACAAAGGTAACCAAATAGACCATATTAACTATCATCTAATATCTTCATAAAGTGCTTATGTACCAATCTGTTAAAGGCAGTCTTTATTTTTTTTTTTGCACATCATTAACTCTTTTTTTTCTATTTTATGGAATATCTGTTATTTGGTCTATTAATTTCTAATAAAATTAATATAAAATATAATAATAAAAATAATCAGAGAGAATCACTCGTCACCTGAACTCAAATCAGGCGATGTCGCGTGCTCAATATGGATGTCGAGGCGGTGGTCGTGGAACCAAAGAAGCACTCCCAATTGACGCGGTCACTGACAAGGTGGTTAATGGCAACCCTCGGAACCTCTCCGCCGCCTGGCTTAAGAGGGTACTCGAGCTGTACAAGGCTGACTGTACAGTTCGAGACTTCAGTGTATGGGGCAGTGGAGTACGATGCTTTGTCATCTAGGCGAGCGGATGACGACTGCGGAGAACCACATAAGGATAAGTAGGGGTATCTTCCAGGACGATTGTTTGAGCCCAATCTGCTTCTACCTCTCTCTAAACCCTCTCAGTACCTTACTGGAGGGTTCCGGGAGGGGATTTCAGCTTCGTAAAGGAGGTAAAAGGAGAGGAGAAAAGGTAGGTCACTCTTGTGACCCACCTTTTCTGTATGGATGATTTCAAATTCTCCAGTCGCTTCCATTTTATGGAATTGCTAAACATCACTTGTGATTTTAGCAATTCTATCAGAATGGAGCTGGGGACGGTTAAGTGTGTGGTCCTACATGTCGAACAGGGGAAGGGTTGCTAACTCTGAGAGCATAGACTTGTCTATAACCATCAACATAAACACCCTATCCGAGGCTAAAACATACCGATAGGTATATCACAGAACATAGGTATCATGCGGCAGTCAGTTTGCGATGTGTTCCATATACGCTTGACAAAAGGGCTTAACAGTCTTTTGTCGGGCATTAATAAGACACACGCATATAACTGTTGGATCATGCCTGTTCTCATGAATACATTTGGCATACTCAGATGGACTCAGACCGAACTGAACGCTCTGGATAGAAAAGTCCGCACTATTCGGATGATGCATACACGTTCCACAGGATGCATCATCCGAGATCGTCAGTAATGAGTCTTTACTTGCCGCGGAAATATGGTGGGCACGGTTTTTTAAGCGCGCTTACCATGCGTAATCGCGAAGTGTGCAGCCTCCGTAATGACTTTTTGATGAGAGCGGATGATCCATTCTATAGGGACATTATTTTTTGTGATAAAGGACTTACCCCTCTATCCTTAGCCAACGAGCAATGGCAAGACCCGGCAGTACAGAGTATTTCTGACCGGGAGACCGTATGGATAGAGAAGGAACTCCACGGGATTGTGGTGATGGAAGGAAAAGGGGAGATCTCCGGCTGGGCAAGGTGTTCTGCCCGGGGATCGGCCAACGCTCCGAGTGGTAGTTCGGAGCTATTCTATATATACTGCTTTAACTTCGGAACTTTGTTAAAGCGATTAGCGCGCCGATGCGTTTTGCTTGTGGCGCGACGACAGCGCCACCACAGGAGGTTCTACAAAGCATGAGCCTTTCGTAGACACAGTTGCCTCCCTCTACTAGCTACGTTTTGGTGACCTCTTCGGGTAACCGAGGGTTTTGTCAGTGCAATGCAGGATCAGGTTATTAAGACCAACAACTATCGGAGATACATCATAAGGGATGGCACCGTCTACATTTGTCGAGCTTGTCGCCATCCCGGTGAATCTCTTAGGTATATCATCTCTGGTTGTTCGGCGCTTTCTAACTCTGAGTACTTACATAGGCACAACGTAGTAGCCAGGATTCTACGCCAGGAGCTTGCTAAGAAATACGATTTCGTGGATCGCAAACTGCCTTATTATAAGTTCATGCCGGAAGCCGTACTCGAAAATGACCTCGCCAGGCTCAGGGACTGGGCCATCATCAAAGACAGGATTATTCTTGAGAATATGCCTGATATTGTGCTGATAGACCGGGAACAGTCAAGGATATTTTTGGTCGACATTACCATTCCGTATGAGGAGAACCTCGTAAAAGCCGAAACAGATAAGCGAGCAAAATATCTGGACCTGGCTCACGAGATGACCGACATGTGGGGTGGACTGCCGACCGAAATTATACCTGTAGTCGTTTCTGCGAACGGGTTAATCCCAGTCAGCCTCTCTGGTCATTTGAGGCGACTGCGACTTCGTGACGGACCGCTCCAAGCTCAAATGTAGAAGGCGGTGCTCCTCGATACCGCCCGCATCGTCTGCCGGTTTCTTTCCCTGTCCTGCTAACCCTCGGCCGTTTGGTCTCCCCTGCCTTCCATCTGGTTGGATTTTTATTTATTCATGTATTTTTTATGTATTTATTTTATTTTATTGTCATTTATGTATGTTTATCATTTTCATTTACAATTATATATTTATACAGCACAACCAGTTGAGAAAACTATATAGATACCCCAAATAATAATAATGTAATACGCCCATGGACCCCGTTATCATAACGCCGGAAGACGTAGCTGAGGCGGTCTGTGGGGCTTCGAACTGGAAAAGTCCGGGGCTTGACGGACTGCATCACTACTAGCTGAAAAGGTTCGTGGTATCCCACGCAGTACTCGCCCGAGAAATACCACGTGTACCACGTCCTCACAGTATACCAGCGTGAAGTAGAGGTTTACCTCTGCGTTGCGCTTGGTGAGTGCAGGTGGCCGGAGGCCCAATTCCCCCCCCCCCCCCCATCAACATGGTAGTGGAATTAAATAAGAGACTACCCCAGGAGGGTACCAGCACCCCTGGAGAATCCCTCGCTGAGCATCCATGACCAAACTACTTCACTCCTGAGCGTGGGTGCTCAGGCTGCCCCGCGTATTCTGGGGGGGGGGGGGGCAAAATTCCGCTCGCGGCTAATGCTGCTTGGGGCAAGCGGAGCAATACAACCAAGGCGACCCCTGTCACGCTATCCGTGAATTTTTGCAACATCAGGGGACTTCATTACAACCTTAACGCTGTCCATTACCATCTAGAGACGGCGAAGCCGGCATTGCTCTTTTTAACCGAGACTCAGGTGTCCTCTCCGGCTGATACTTCATATCTCTCCTACCCGGGATACAAATTGGAACACTCCTTTGTGCCCCGGGCTGGAGTTTGTGTATACGTCAGAGAGGACATCTGTTTTCGACGCCTCGGCAGCCTTGAAGGTACGGACCTGTCCATCCTATGGCTGCGCGTAGACAGCGACGACCATCCCCGCGTCTACGGGTGCCTCTATAGGTCCCATAGCGGTAATGCCGACACAGACTGGCTCATCGACCACGTCCAAATGGCTGCAGACTCCGTGCTACAACAGGTCCCATCCGCAGAGATTGTGATACTCGGTGATTTCAACGCCCACCACGCTGAATGGCTTGGTTCTCGTTTAACCGATCATGCGGGTAGATCTGTCTAAGACTTTGCTTTGGCATATGGTCTAATACAACTGGTTACTTTGCCTACGCGGATCCCAGATGTGGAAGACCATGTACCTTCTCTGTTGGACCTTCTGCTGACCTCTTATCCGGACGGATATCAGGTCTCCGTCGATGCACCTCTGGGCTCTTCAGACCATTGTCTGATCCGGAGCACGGTGCCACTCACGCTCCAATCGCAGTTGCGATCTGCAGCTTGCCGCCGTGTTTGGCACTATAGGTCAGCTGATTGGGACGGGATGCGGTCTTTTTTTGCATCCTACCCTTGGGGGCGGGTTTGCTTCTCGCCGAAAGATCCCAGCGTTGTTGCCGATTCTGTTGCTGATGTGGTACTTCAGGGTATGGAACTTTTTATTCCATCCTCTGTGGTGCCCATCGGAGGCAGATCCCAGCCATGGTTTGGTCGCTCCTGTAAATTCGCATCACGCTATAAGCAGGAGTGCTACCAGGTCTGGGCTGACGCATCATCGTCTCGGGATTTAAACACCAGCGCACTTAAAAAGAAGTATAATTCCGCCTCCAGGTCCTTCAAAAGCGTCATTGCCAAGGCAAGGTCTGAGCACATCGGCAGAATTGGCGAGAAGCTAGTTCGCCTTCC